TTAGGCCCAGAGAGGTTGGCTGACTTGCCTGAAGTCTCACCCAGGTAGTAAGTGGCAGTGTTGCTGGCCGTGCCCTATCTGAGCAACAAGCTGGTCTTGGAGGTCAGACACTGGGAGCGCATAGTGAGACACAGCCTTGTGCCTGAGGTTACAGAACATGAGTTACAAAATGCACACATCTCCCATTCTCAAGAACTTACTTCCTATAACTCAGTAGTTACTTGGGTGTTTGTCCCTGTAGACCCAGTCTTTGAAAAGTAAACACCAACTCCATTTCTATGACTGTCAGCCCTCTTGGGGACTTGGAGAATGTAGGCTAGCATTTTGTGGGCCTGTCAACCTAATTTCAAGGAAAATTTAATGGAAGTATATTTCAAGGGGCAGATGTGTGGTTTAACCTTATTACAACAGAAGCTATAAAAAGGTTTAACCTTATTACAACAAGAGCTATATAAAACTGTACAAAAAGACAGCCGGTCTCTATGTCCTCATCATCCTAACACCTCATAGTTATGAAAACTAAATGAGATAATATGCATGTCAGGAAAGAATCCCAACCAACATCTGGGAAAGCATACCCCTCTCCCCCAGGTGACTGCCTGGACTACCACCCTCAGAGTAACAACTATTGCACAGCTATTTCCTAAAATTAGAGATAGAAAAGGGGTAAACTGGCAGCTAGTGGGACCTTTCATAGAAAGCAAGCCTACACTATCTGCCAGGGACCTGCAAGGGATTTGAGATGCTTAAATTCCAAATTCTGTGCTCTTACCCACTGTGATATACCGTGTATTGATTAAGCAGAAGCAGAAGCAGGTTTTTTTCTTTTAATAGGTGCTTTTTAATTAACTGATTGTTTTCAGTTATTTTGGAGTACAATAAGAAATTTGGAATTTTGAAAATAGAGATGTATAAACCATATTTCATTTCCTCATAGAATTATACCCCGTTTTTTACATATAGATCCATAAGAAATTGCACACATAGAAAACAATACAGGAAGCAGAACCAATCTTTAAAAGCCAAAAACAGAAATACACTACAGGAAAACATTTCCAGAGGCAGTCACCACAATATTAAAAGGATTAGAAGTCACGTTATCAAAGCAATGTGTTTAGCAGGGTAACCGGAGGAGTCTAGAACATCACTTCTGCTTAGGTTGTCGAATGCCTTTGCCTTTCAAGCTACTTTCAGATTCCAGGTAACTGTTGATATATTTATTACATAACAAATTAAACCAATAGTGATAAATATAATCCTAAATAATGTTATACAAGGTCCTTAATTGGTACAATCACACATTATTTTTGTTCAGATATGTAAAAACACAAACCATCTGCCTTTGTTTCCTAAGCTTTCCTGCACCTGCACCCTGAACAGTCAAGTTCAGTCTTCCTGGTGCCCCCAGGTACCTCAGGCTGGATTCCCCTATGACAACCACAACCTTGGTTGTCAATAACAAGCTGCTCTTAAAGTGGTACTGTACCCCCAGGCACCAGCTAGGTCCCCAGTGGCAGGCAGTTTACACTATTTGTGGGTGGTTTCTGGGCCCTGGCCTCACCACTCACCTAGGCGGCCTGGGCCTTAAGACTTTAAGACTCAGGCCCCTCTGGCAGCCTACTCATTGTAGTCTTTACTCACCAGTCGGCTAGAGCACCTCTGTGTACACATGGAGTTTAACAGGCTGGGACTAGCGGGTGGTTAAGCTGGAGGAAAAGGCAAAAGCACAAAACCCACTAGGCTTTGCTATAGAGGGCAAGAGAGGCTGAAATTTGCTGTTACTTGCCTATGGTCACGACGCTGGCAGAAGCAGAGCAGAAATTATATAACACCATCCAACAGCTTTAAGATACAAGAACCTTACACATACTCACTGGACAGAGGGCCAAGAAAACAGGACAACAGTGGTTCTACTGGGGCAGTTCTATGGAACTGACATTCCTGACATTTGGTGCTGGCTGCATAGATTAAGGTAGTACGGCCTATACATCTAAAGGATGGCATGTTATGAAGCCACTGTAATGACATGAGAACACTTTATGTTAAGAGGAGAAAAAAGCACACAGATTATAGCTATAATTTCCTCTCAATTTGTTTTTTTTTTTTTTTAAAAAAAGGCCAGAAGGCAACATTAGCCATGTTTGTGAATTAGCATTTCCAATGGAGAACCTGTCTTTAGTCTTGTGATTCTCATGCAATAATTTCTGATTGAAGTTATCTGGCACATTTTCTACCTAACAGCTCAAAACAGTAACATATGCACATATATGATTTCCTGTGACTACACTTCCCTGGCTGGATTTTGATCTCTCCCGTCCATTTGGCTATCCGATGTGGATGACGTGCCAGCACCCTGGAACAACAGCCCACGTGGTCCCTCCCTTTCTGCCCTAGTTCCCCTTCCTAAAGTCTGTCTTGCCAAAACAGCTGGAGCCTCCGATGGCAGGCTCTGCGATCTGGCTCTGCACAGGCCTAACCTGACTATTCCCTCGCTCCCTCTGGCTGTGGTCTCCCTGCTGCTTCTCAACCAGACTGGGACCTGCTAGCGTTTGCACAGCTGGCTAGCTAGCCCATCATGTAGCTAAAGTCATCAGTAACCACCCTGTACCTACCCCCATAGCACTTCACAAATTTGTGATCATCCCGAATGGCGGAATATTTGACACCCTTGACCTCCAGTAGCCAATAGCAGCCCTAGTTACTGTGATCACCAAAAGCCCACCCCCACAAATATCCAAATACCCCAGGACAGAGAGGGGCAACACTGCCCGTTTGAGAACTCTGCCCCAAAGGGTAGTTGCAGGACTACAACATTCATTCAGCCAAGCAGCATCTAGTGTTCCCGGGCCTGAAACTGGGATATAGACAGATGCCCGCCAGGGACACTACCTTATTCTGGACAACCACATGTAGCATGGGTCCAGAGTCACCTAACATCTACCTAAGTTTTCATGGGTGGTAGCTGAGGAAATAAGAAAAACCACACAGCAGGAACTTCATAAAACTAAAATTAAAGAAGTCTCCCTCTTAAGCCTTCCCTCTCTGTTTTGACCTTAGGATGCGGTCAGCGCTTCTGCTGTTTAGTATGCATACATATCACCTACAGATCTTGTTAAAGGAATTCGGGTCTGAGGTGGGGCCTATAGGAGTTCTAACAACCCCCCAAGTGATCCAAGCAAGCTCAACCCAAACATCAATGCTTCAGACCCTGTGTGACATTTGTCTGGAAGCCAAGCTTCTAATCAGAGAGCGGGTAAGCTTTCCTGGCACTGCTGCTCTAAACTGGTTAAGGAAGCGTCCTCACCTGTTCCAGTTCCCAACATGTTTCATCACTCACCTAAAATACCACTGCTAGAACTATGAGTAAAATCCAGCTATTCTCCAAACGCCCTAGGGCCTTTTTCCCTCTGGGCCAGAAGCCCAGGCAGTTTAATTTTTAAATGGGAAGTGAACTCAACTGAGTACACAATACAGCAGGAACAAATGGAGGGTGGGCAGGTGTACACTGTTAAACTAAATAGTACCACAAACTTAAAAACACAGCTACACGGCAAATGGCTAACAGTAAAGAGCACAAGGACGGCAACACTATTAGGACTTCCACTTTCTACATTTCATTTTTCTGCAGTGCTTTATTTAGATGAAGCTAGCATACACTCCCACCTCTGGAAAATATACTGACTTCCCAGAGCAGCTAAAACCCAGTCCTAATTAGCTAATATATTCACCAAGAGTTACTTTGTTCTCAAAGATGTTTATTCCAGTTGTAGTTGTTAGTGTAATTACAGATGTTAAACAATGAGGTGCACCCACCTATAGAAGTGAAGCTGAATCACAAGAATTGGGCTCGTTCACAAGTCTTTACTCCATTTACAAAGTGGTGGCCCACAGTAAAAGACTGAGAAGTGAATGCACATCGATGTTTTAAGTGAAACAAAAAGTTTATGCTAACACATTTCATGATTCTCCCCTTTAAGCATCTGGATCTGATGCCTAAGACTTTATCAGGAAGACTAAGTAGTAGCTTCATAAAAAGTTGGGCATAAAAATAACTTCAAGGTTTAAAAATACCTACGAGGGCAGCTATTAAATTAGAGAACCAATTAACAGCAATGAAAAGGTGGCCCAGGGACAACTGAACTCATTAGTCACAAGTGAGTAAATTATTGAGTTAACTTGTGCTCAAAATTTAAACTGTGAACCACGGGCCAAGTATTGTGTCCAATAGAGAAATGGTGGCTTTTGAATGTCACTGCTTCAGTGACCTGGTAAAGTACAGGCAAGACACGTTCCACTTTCACACCAAAGGGGGAGCAAACTGGTTAAGAGTAACATTTCTCACAGATGATAACACAAAATTAATCCCTTTTGAGCACTATGTGCCTGGTACAAGTTTAAGCATTCTACAAGTATCAACCCGTTTAATCCTGAGGGATATAACCATTATTGCCTTCACGATACATACGGGGAAGCTGAGGCAGATTTAAACACAGCTAATAAAATGCAGGGCGAGGAATCACATCCATGCAATGTGTCTCAAAGACCACTCCCTTTCTCTACTTATAGTCTCATCAACTCTAGATTTTCATTTTAAAGGAAAACTGAGTCCAATATTTAACCCCAAACACCACATCAAAGCCTCTGATCCTTTCAGACATCATTGCTGGTAAAACCTCTAATGAAGAGCAGAATCGCTGAACAGAGGGGAGCCCTGCACCCCACTTTAATCAAGGCTCTAAATTCAAACCCAGCCCCAACCATTCCCTCCCCTCTACAGTCAGTTTCCACAGGGTCACTGCACCACAGCCTGTCAACAAGGGTGTGGTGAGCACAGACAGTGCTGCGGAAGTTCTCAGGTTTGGATCTGCCAGGAAACACTGGCATCCAATCAGGGGATGACAGGGTTGTTACCAGCTATTCCCATCGAAGCTTTAAGTGGCTTGAGGTCCAAGGACTTGAATATGGCCAGGCTCCTTTCACAGAACACACAACAGTAATTGTACATTTCACTGAAAACTTTTTATTAGCCTTTTGGATAGAAACAGGAATTTACTTGCCAGGAAGGATGATCCCATCATACTGAAAGAGAACAGATTTTATTTTTTTCAGAACAGGCGGTTAGCAGTAAAGATTGCAGCAATGGCTAACGTTCAAGAATTCAAATCAGGTACATGAACTTCGGCTTTGAATCTCATATCCCTAAACAGGAAGCTGGCCATCTTTAACAACTGCTACGCTATGCTCAACTGTACTATACCCTGAGAAAAGGGGCTCCTGTTAAAGCCATATTCCTCCCCTTCCAGCTATCTGCATTCACGGGGCTGGGGAGAAAGCCTGGTTCTGGGTGTTCTTTTAAACCACCAACCCTGGAAGCCCATTTTCCAAGTTGCCCAAATGTTCCACCTTTAAAAGAGCCACCCACCAAAGGGTGCTAGACTTTGCATCCCCGTATCCCAACTCCATTCACCAACACCACATTCCACCACTTCACCTGAGACAGATCAAGCTTTACCTTCTGCTGGAACCAGCGCATGGCCTCCTCTTTGCTGATTCTGTGTTTGGCCCCAATGCAGCCTGTCCTGCGCTTCTTGTCTGCGATGCTGAAACCTGGCCTACCCAGCACCTGTCCCAGGAATAACCAACAGTCACCTACAGCCGGCTCAGAGTCAAGAGCAGATGGACAAGACGCACACATTGCAGTGACTGTTCTTCAACAGTTACCTGGTGGCCCAAGAGACCCATGATCTCAGTGTCTGATGGAACCTGCATCCTATAGATGACACATCGCCTTCCTATACACTATAGGTCTGCTCTGGAGGCTGGACGTGCAGCTCCTCCCCACTCCCCTACCTAACTTCCAATGGTAGCTAAGGATTCACCACTGCTCCCATACCCCAAAGCACTTTTATTTAAAAAAAAAAAAAAAAAAAAAAAAAAAAAAAAAAAAAAATTTTATAAATTTTACTTCAACATGTGCATTGTAGAAATCTTAAGCTTTCAAGAAGCACAAAGAAATAACTATTTCTCTCCTCTGCTTCAGCTCAAAAGTGCTTCTTAAAGGTTTGTCATCCCCCGTGAGCACCCAACTCTCACTACCATTTCTCTGGATATTCAGATCTAGTAAGAAGACTGCTGCCACCCTTCAGGTTCATACTAGTCAGGACTTCAGGGTTTTGCCATTTATTTACTTGGATGGTTGGACCAAAACATTACAGTGACACAAATGGTCACGTCTACATTAAAATCCCCATCCTGAGCAAACAGCCCCATCGTCAAACCTGCTTCCATGTCCTCTGGATGGAAGCTACCCCATTCCCAGAGTCTAAGGGAAGAAGCAGGGAAAGGGCAGCCTCAGTGCAGCCAACCCAAACGCCAAATGCAAACCCAATACCGTCTCTCAAATTTTCAATTCAGTGGCTGGATGGAACTGTTTCCTTCGCCCACCTCTGAGCAACATCAGTGCTTGCTAGATCCTAGACCATAAACGTCACGGATCTTGTCCATCTAGTTCACAGTGCTATATCCCCACACCTGCCACAAACGAGGTGTATCTTCCCAAGGGAGAGAAGACAGACAACACTCAGAGTCCCAACCCAACATGTCACCATCAAGATAGCACATACGAAATAAAGGAGGAACAGATTCCACTCTCACAGACCAGGAGTAGAAAAGATTAAGTATTCATACCACATAGAAGTCCAGGCCGTAGATACCAATGCTTGGGTCATATTTGATCCCCAGATCGATGTGTTCTTGGATCCCAAAGCCAAAGTTTCCAGTGTCTGAGAAGTTATTTTTTCTTAACTCATACTCTCGCACCTGAGGGAAAAAAACGCAGCAATCACTCCCTGTCAACTCTACCCCGCAATAACTAGCTCAGCTTGCAACACTCAGGAACCCCCAAACACAATTCAATGTAATTTGGCCAGCAACAAAATCTGATTTTCCCACTACACCAAATCACAGCTATGGATTTCATATAACGACTAACTTTCAAAGGGAAGGGAAAAACCCTTTAGAAGTTCAAAAAAGTCACAAGGCAGGACATTAAGTGTAACCACTACCGCTGTAACTATGTGCTAACTGGTGCTCTTCAGTATTATCCCACGGAGGGGTCAGCCTCACCTTCAGACCTTTCTCCAGGATTTCTTCTGCCTTGGCCCCACGGACTGTGCAGTGGACAGCAATTTTTTCATTTCTTCTGATGCCAAAGGATCTGACGGTGTATCTAGCTGCAGGCAGGGGTAACAAGGAGTCAGCTGTTATCATACTCCCACTGCACTCCCCTCTTCCCCAGAAAATCATCTCTATGACTCCAAAGCGACATCAAGTATCCATCCACATTCTAAAGTGGTGTTCTAATCAGTGTCAACTTGTATCAGTTAATCAGGTTCATTTCTAACAAAGAAACACATTTTCCAACACTCAGCCATACTTGAGCAATTAAGATCTCAGAGCCATAATGTCAAAGTCTCAGGAAGGGCAAGTTCATAACCAGTATAAGCTAAAGGAAAATGACCAAACATTCTACTAATAATGTTTATTAATAATAGCTAATATTTGCTAAGACCTTATTGTATCCCCATTTCACAGAAGCCGTGAAAGGTTAACTTGCACAAGATCAGTTGGTAGTAAGAGGCAGGTTGTGATTCCAAGGACTTGCCATATTCCATTACCCCAAAGCAATGAAACTCTAAAAACAAAAAATGTAACAACAGTAATGCCTGCACTGTGCTTGGTATGCAGCAGGCATTTCATATAACCTATCCTGTCCCCCGCGATCTTGTAATACAAGTACTACCATCCCCTGTATGCAAATAAGGAAGCTGAGGCCCAGAGAAGCCGAAGTCACAGACTAGCAAGTGATGGAGCCGGGATGTGAACCAGGTTAGTCTAGGGACACAGCCCTGTTCTAGCTGTAGCCTATGTAACCCTAACTGCTAATCAAGCCAAATACCATTTTCTGCATTCCCAACATTTCCACGCTACCTTGTACTCTCGTTACTTGCAAAAATCTCTACTTGGGCTAGTCTTAGCTTAATCTCGGCTCATACAAAATCTGGTATTCCAATACCACTTTTATGTTGGAAGGGAGATACTTCTTGGGAAGCTCAGGAAAGCAATGCTTTAAAGAGATATCGCCTTCAAAATGGGTACAAAACAGGCTTGACAGCAGGCGAGGTAAGAAACATCCCGACATCCCCAGCCCTCTCCCTGCCGGCCACGACTCACCTTTGGAGAACACAGGGGTCTGGCCTGTGAGCTGCTCCAGCACCTTGGCTGCCCGGGTCAGCCTGTCTCCGCTCTCCCCCACGCAGATGTTGAGGCAGAGCTTGCGGATGCGAAGTTCCCGCATGGGGTTCTCCTTCTCCCCTTGATCCTGCTGCAACAGGGAAGCACAGCCGTCAAAACACACAATCCCGCCAGGGCTGCCAGCCTAATATTTATACTTAGCGCATTTCCGCTCATCCCAAATAGTCCCGAAAGCCCTAAAGGTTCAAGAATTATCACCATGTTTGTGTGGGAAGCACCGAGGAAGACATCTCGGGGTCTTGTTTTCTCCTTCCCCCACGCACGGAACGGGTGAACAGAAACAGGACAGGTACCGAGTGGAAAAGTTACAGACAATGCGGGTGAACCCCAAGGGGCTCAAAGTGTAAGGTGACGGAGGGCGCCCCGTTACACGGCCGGTGAGGGGTGAGAAAACAGCACGTGGCTGGGCAGCGTCCCCCGAAGCCTGGCCTCTGCCCCGAGGAGGAACCGGCTGAGGCTCCCCAGCACCAGGCAAGTTTCAAGTCCCGGGGCCCAGCAACAGGTCCGAACCCCGCGTCCCAGACACCCCTCCGATCGCTCCACTGGCCCTCGCTGCAGCCTGCGGGCCGTGCTTCTGGGCCTCCCGCGGCTGCCCCGAGCCTGCTCCTGGGAGGATGGGAGGAAGGTGACAGGGTCCAGCTCCGCGCCCTCGGCTCGTATGGCTTTGCCAGTTTCGGCACGGCCGGCATCGCGGGCTCCGTTCTCCTCGGGCGGCGGGAGAGGTAACCCCCGCAGGCTCCGCCGGCCGTGGATGGAAGCGGATGAAGGGAAGCAAACCCACACCTCGGTTACTCACCGCCATGACGGGAAACAGGAAGAGAAAGTGAGACTTCTGAGCCAGGGCCTTATGGGCCAGAAGGCGGACCCTTTTCCCAGGCTAACCAGCGAGATGAGGGAGAGGAAGAGAGACGCGTCTGGAGCCACGTAGACTCGGCTTCCCCCTCGTGGACACAGATGTCAACTGCAGGTGACGCTAGCTGACCACTGGGGCGTGGGCTTATCCAAAAGCCGGTTTTTAAAGCTCCCTGAACTGGCATTTCCTTGAATTTCCGGTCCCCAGGGACGCTGTTCCCGCCCACAGTCTCAGGTACGGTTGGTCCTTGCGTGTTGAGACTGCCAGAATACACTAAGTCAGTTATGCAAATTATGAAGTAACAGTTTTACTCTGTAACAGTGTAAACAAATGGCATTTAAATATTTAAACCGTAGTTAGAACAGAGCTTTGGCTCTGTCCTGAGCTGTGAAGAGTCCTGAGCTGTGAAGACAGGCAGCTGTGGTCCTGTCTTGGCTAGCTCAGTAGCTATGAGATCTTGGGCAGGTTACTAATTATATCTCCTTCAGCCTCAGTTTCCCTCAGCTTTCAAATTGGTACTAATTGGGCTTCCCTGGTGGCGCAGTGGTCGAGAGTCCGCCTGCCGATGCAGGGGACACGGGTTCGTGCCCCGGTCCGGGAGGATCCCACATGCCGCGGAGCGGCTGGGCCCGTGAGCCATGGCCGCTGAGCCTGCGCGTCCGGAGCCTGTGCTCCGCAACGGGAGAGGCCACAACAGCGAGAGGCCCGCATACCACAAAAAACAAAAAAAAACAAAAATAAAATTGGTACTTATATCACTTGAGGTTGTTGTGAAAATTAAATGAGGTAATAATAATAATAACAATAATAATATAGTGGGTTATTCTTATTAATGTAAACCCACTATATTCAAGCAACCCCCAACCCCCAAAAAGTGTTAGACATGGTACATAATGAAGAGAGGGTCATCCTGCAGGCACAAAGATGGCTTACAGATTAGTCTGACAGGCAAGTACTCCAACCTCAGACAGTAACAGACCTCCCTGGTTTGCACTAAATCCTCATCAGCAGGACCCAAGGGGGTGCTGTGCCAAGATCCACACCCCAGACAGAAGCTGGCTGTGAGTCAGGGGGTTTCTTTGACATAAGCAAATGGAGAAAGGAGAGCATACAGGGCCTTGGTGGAAAAGGAGGGAAGGGGCTTTCTTCTACAGCCATAATTCCTTCTCTCATCCCCGTGGGGGAGGTAGAAGCCCCCAGGTTCTCCTTGTATCATCCTTAGGGACGAAAGGACACTTCTGGGAAGCTGGGCTGATGGAGGAAAGCAAAGAGAAAAGGCCCATCCTCTGAGCCTTCTCTACCAAGCAACCAGCACTAGTCCAGAGCAGGGGCCTCAGGCAGACCCCTAGGATGGGCAGAGCCAAGGGAGGGACTGCTCCAAAACTCCAGAGATGTGACAGCTGGATGTAGCACATGATCCTGCATTTTCTGTTCCTATAAAGCGCATTATTGGACCCACTGGCAAAATCTGTAGACTTCAGAAATGTATGCATGGTAATTTAATGTTGACCTGATTATGTGGGCTTGGTTACATAAGAGAATGTCCTTAGGTTTAAGAAACATATATTCAGGGACTTCCCTGGTGGCGCACTGGATAAGACTCCGTGCTCCCAATGCAGGGGGCCCAGGTTGGATCCCTGGTCAGGGAAATAGATCCCACAAGCATGCCGCACCTAAGAGTTCGCATGCCACAACTAAGGAGCCTGCCTGCCTCAACTAAGGAGCTGGTGAGCCACGACTAAGACCTGGTGCAACTAAATAAATAATAATAATTTTAAAAACCTCAGTAAACTTTCAAACTACTTGCTATTAAAAAAAGAAAAAAGAAATACACATTCGGTATTTGGAGGAAAGGGGCAGCATATCTGCAGTTTATTATCAAACGGTTCAGAAAAAATGTATATTTAGAGGGGAAAGGATAAAGCAAATGTGGTAAATTTAAGATTTGGAGAATCTGGATGAAGGATATGTGGGACTTCTTGCAACTTCTCTGTAACTCTGAAATCATCAAAGTAGAGAAAATAATTTCAGGGAAACATGTACCTAGGAAGATACATAAAAGCTTATCCTCAAGAACTCCCATCTCATTCCCTCCCACTACAATTTTTCTCCAGCCGAGTCCCTTGACAGCAGTACCCACCGGTGGTAATGAGGAATAGCTAATTGATACTGATATGCCGTGCCCAGTAGGCACCAACTCACTCAAACTTCAACATCCCTGTGGAGGCAAATACTATTGTTTTCCCATTTTATAGATGGGCACACAAGGCACACCGAGGTTCAGTAACGTTTATAGACACTATTTAAGTCAGGGGGTCTAACACCAGAGTCCAGTCCTGTTCCAGGAACTGATGATCTAAGCCAGGGCCAAAAGCTGTCCCCGGCTTCCCCCTTTACACCTTTTCCTCCCTGTGACCCCAGCTTTCGGGTTCTTGCACCAGTCAGGACCCCAGGAGGAAGCCAGAGGGGCAGAATGAGACCCAGCACCCCTCTGCTTCCTCCTTGCTTGACACATCCAGGTCAGTAGAAGCAGAGGCAAAATGACTCGTTGTGCTTTATCCCCATGCCTGAGACTCATCAGCAAAAAGAAAACCCAGTTAGCAGGGGCAGGTTTAGGACAGACCAGGCAAGAGAAGAGCAAGTCCACGTCTTCTCCTTGAGCCACTCTTTCCCCAGGTGTGGCTCTGCCTGGGCTGCCCCTGGCCTGGAGTCACCACTCACTTTTTGGCGGCTTTTATGGTTGCCTTGGTGACTCTGCCTCAAGTAGCTGCTTTTTTCTCCATGGCTTTGGTGACCCTGACAGCCTAACATTGAGCACAGAGTAGGAAGTGCCATTCCCTGTGTATTGAGTTCAGAAAGTTCTTGTGCTTCAAGCCCAGTCATGCCTAAGATAACTGGGGAGTCTAAGAGGTTGGGGAATCTGAGCCTTTGGGTTTAATAGGCTCCATCAGTAGTTCTGGTAATCCACTAGGTTTGAAAACCACTGCACCAGAGAGTAGTGGAAGGAAAAAAAGTCCCTACTCATCTCTTTACTGTTCACATTCTCTAGGTCAGTGCTTCTCAGACTTTGATGTGCACCTCAGTTACCTGGAGATCTTGTTAAAATGAAGATTTGAATTCAGCAGGCCTGGATGGAGCCTGAGATTCTGCATTTCTAACCAATTCCCAGGGGATTCCCATGCTGCTGGTGCATGGACCACACTTTGAGTTAGCAAGGCTCTAAAGTGGCCCCTGCCTTCCCGTTGTGACACTAGGCAAGCTGCTTTCCCTTTCTGGGCCCTTCTAACCTGGCACTCAGATCCTCTGACCAGGTTCTGCTTCCTAGCTCAGGTGTGACACATTGGCCAACTGGCTCCCTGGAGCTGGGAGGAGGAGGTAGCAGCCCCGGTAGCCAGTTGCTCTTGGGCCTTACCAAGGGGTGGGTACTCAGGGAAGCTTTCCATGCACATGGGATTGCTCAGAATCATCTGGGTGATGCCTGCCTCCCAGGACTTCAGGGCTTTAGGGTTGTCTTCCAGCTTCTTGCCTGAGTGCCGGTCAAGCTTCTTTCTCAGCTCTGCAAACTTGCAGGTGATGGGTGCTGTGGCAGTCCAGAACTGGTGAGTAGCCAGCTGCAATGCTGCCAGGATGGTTGAGGATGATCACCTGGAACTGGGGGGAAGTGGGGGGGATGGGGGATGAGGAGGGTATTAGCCAAGCATCCTTCAAAGGAGGTGGCTCTAACCAGCTAAGGGGTCAGCTGCCTTGGACACATTTTAAATTATAGTGAATATTTGAATGTTTATAGGGTATACCAAGTTCCATGCAAAGCAAATGTCATTCATTTCAGTTTAATTTTCACAGCAGGGAGCCTGTGTAACCCAAAATTTCATAGTGAGGAAGTGGCAGAGCTGGGTATAAATGATGCCTATGACTGATAGATATTATTATATGTACATCCCCCCACCTTTTAGAAAAATGGATTATAATAATAGCTACTTAACTTGTTAGGTGGCCCCAGGTCAGCTGCTTTATACATCACCTCATTTAATAATCCCAAGATCACTGCAAGGTAGTCCTAGCCTCCACATGCACAAAGAAGAATGTGCCAGGGTCTTCCCTGGTGGCGCAGTGGTTAAGAATCCGCCTGCCGATGCAGGGGACACAGGTTCGATCCATGGTCCGGGAAGATCCCACATGCCTCGGAGCAGCTAAGCCCACGTGCCACAACTACTGAGCCCAAGCGCCTAGAGCCCATGCTCCGCAACGAGAGGAGCCACCGCAATGAGAAGCCCGTGCACCGCAATGAAGAGTAACCCCGCTCGCCGCAACTAGAGAAAGACCACGGGCAGCGACAAAGACCCGACGCAGACAAAACTAAATTAATTAATTAATTATTTTAGAAAAAGAAGAATGTGCTAGACATTGCATTAAGAAAGGGTTTCATGGGACTTCCGTGGCAGTCCAGTGGTTAAGACTCGCGCTTCCACTGCAGGGGGCGTGGGTTTGTAGAGGGAGCTAAGATCTCACGTGGCACATGGCATGGCCAAATTGAAAAAAAAAAAAGAAAAAAGAAAGGGCTTCATATTCTGACTCTGGGTCAAGGAAACACCTGAGAGGTCCAAGCATACAGCTTCCCAGGTTCCACACAAACCTACTGAATCAGAACCACTAGGGAGAGTTCTAGGAATCTGAATTTTGTTTTGTTTGTTTTTTTTTTTTTGCGGTACGCGGATCTCTCACTGTTGCGGCCTCTCCCGTTGTGGAGCACAGGCTCCGGACGCGCAGGCCCAGTGACCATGGCTCACGGGCCCAGCCACTCCGCGGCATGTGGGATCTTCCCGGACTGGGGCACGAGCCCGTGTCCCCTGCAGGGGGACTCTCAACCACTGCGCCACCAGGGAAGCCCTACAAATCTGAATTTTTGAAACACTTCCCCAGTGATTTCTAATGCATTTGGTTTGAGAACTACTGCTTTAGGGCATCAAGATTGTACTTTGGAAATTAAC